TGGATCTGAAAGCTGCCTGGCTGATTAATTGACAGTTTAAAAAGATTGATTCCGCATGTCAGGGCTGTAACCCGGCCAGGACAATGCTGCTGTCAGCTGGACTGTAAAATAGACGCTTCCATTAGCGGCTCTGACAGCGGAGCCACGAGTACTGAAGCACCTGCTATTACGGAGAGTTCCTGAGTTCTATACGTCCCCCGATTAATCATTTTGAAAGCAAATACTTAAAACATCAAAGGTTTTCATGGTCAGGGAAGCTTCTTGGCAGGCCTTGTGCTCAGTGGAGAGCGTGCGCTGGGTATGGACTAAAGAACTGCTGGGGGATCTGATAGCGGCAGTATTGTCTGTCTGGAATATATCATCTCAACTGAAACTCCTAGGGCGGGTTGGGGGAGGGTAGGCAGAAAAGGTGGCTGCTTTGGGAGGATGGGGTGCAAAAAGGGGAGGACCTGCAATCTATGCTGCAGGGGTAGTTCCCAACTCATGCTTGGGGGGGCGCACTTTGGCCTTGGGTGCTAAAGGCCCTTGTTCCGTCACTGCAAACACCATCATGCGCTATGAGCACTGAGGATAACTTAGGCCTCTTTCACATGGGCAGTAGTTTCCTACCAGTGTTCCTACAAACCTTACCACCAGTGCTTACCACCCTACCAGTGTTCCTACCAGTGTTCCTACAAGCCTTACCACCAGTGTTCCTACTCCTACAAGCCTTACCAGTGTTTTCTACAAGCCTTACCACCAGTGTTCCTACCAGTGTTCCAGTGTTCCACAAGCCTTTCCCTTACCACCAGTACTCCTACCAGTGTTCCTACAAGCCTTACCACCACTACCAGTGTTTACAAGCCTTACCACCAGTGTTCCTACAAGCCTTACCACCAGTGTTCTTACCAGTGTGTTCTTACCTGCAAGCCTTACCATCAGTGTTCCTACCAGTGTTCCTACAAGCTTTACCACCAGTGTTCCTACCAGTGTTCCTACAAGCCTTACCTACCAGTGTTCCTACCAGTGTTCCTGCAAGCCTACCACCAGTGTTCCTACAAGCCTTACCACCAGTGTTCTTACCAGTGTTCCTGCAAGCCTTACCACCAGTGTTCCTACCAGTGTTCCTACAAGCCTTTACCACCAGTGTTCCTACCAGTGTTCCTACAAGCCTTACCATCAGTGTTCCTACCAGTGTTCCTACAAGCTTTACCACCAGTGTTCCTACCAGTGTTCCTACAAGCCTTACCACCAGTGTTCCTACCAGTGTTCCTGCAAGCCTTACCACCAGTGTTTCTTACCAGTGTTCCTGCAAGCCTTACCACCAGTGTTCCTACCAGTGTTCCTGCAAGCCTTACCACCAGTGTTACCGCCAGTGTTTACCAGTGTTCCTGCAAGCCTTACCACCAGTGTTCCTACCAGTGTTCCTACAAGCCAGTGTTCTACCAGTGTTCCTACCAAGCCTACCACCAAGTTTCCTACCAGTGTTCCTACAAGCCTTACTACCAGTGTTCCTACAAGTTTTACTACCAGTGTTCCTATCAGTGTTTTAGTTTTACCAGTGTTACAAGCCTTACTACCTGTCACTTACCTTACTTGCAAGCCTGATGGCAGAAGAAGGCCTCTTGTATGGCTCTGGCTCGAGGGCCACTGAAGGTGGGACAGCAACCACAAGAGCATGGTGGGGTATGAGTGCCTGGTCAGTCCTGTGGTCTGTGCGGGAATTGCTGGCACTTCGCTGGCAGATGGGATGGCTGGGCTGGCTGGCAGCAGATCAGGCTGGTAGCAGGCAGACATCACATCTGGACTGGCTGGTGGCAGAGCAGGCAGGCAGGCAGTGGATCAGGCAAGCAGTGGAGCAGGCAGGCAGTGGAGCAGGCAGGCAGTGGAGCAGATTGATAGCAGACTGTATGCAGGGTCAGACAAGCCGGGTCGGTAACAGATAAGCGGATCAGGCATGAACAGCAGGCAGAAGATTGGTCGGGTCACAAGCCAAGGTCAGTGATGGTGGGAGCAGATCAAGCAGATGCAGAAGGCAGAGACGGAGTCCAAGAAGCAAGCCGGGGTCAAAACAGGTATCAGTCACAGGATCAGGAACACTGCTGCACTGCTAGGCCAGTGGGCGCCAGAATTAGCCAATGCACATTTCTGTGTGCATACGCCTGCGCATGCGCATATGTGTGTGCATTTGCGCACGGCCACACAGAACAGTACAAGCACCTGCAGGCATGCGCCTGCTGCATTCGCGTGCAGCTACGAGCCTCAGCTATGCCATGGCCAACATGTCCCTGACACTACCAATGTTACTACCAGTGTTTCAACCAGTTTTCCTACCAGTGTTCCTACAAGTCTTACCACCAATGCTCCTACAAGTGTTTCTACCAGCTTTACTACCAGTCTTATTACAATTCGTACTACCAGTGTTCCTACAAGTGTTGCTAAAAGTGTTCCTACAAGCCTTACCACCAGTGTTCCTACCGGTTTTACTACCAGTGTTTACCAGTGTTCTACAAGTCTTACTACCAGTGTTCCTACCAGTGTATTCTACAAGTCTTACACCAGTGTTCCTATCAGTGTTCCTACCAGTCTTATTACAAGTGTTTCTTAGCTTTATTACCAGTCTTATTACAATGTTCCTACAAGTGTTCCTATCAGTTTCCACCTACCAGTATTCCTACAAGTCTTACCACCATGTTCCTGTTCCTATCAGTTTTCCTACCAGTGTTCCTACAAGTCTTACCACCAATGTTCCTACCAGTGTTTACAAGTCTTACCACCAATGTTCCTACAAGTGTTATTACCAGCAGTATTACCAGTCTTACAATTCTTACTACCAGTGTTCCTACATGCCTTACCACCAATGTTCCCACCAGTTTTACTACCAGTGTTACTACAAGTGCTACTGTAACTTCCTTTGATACTGCTTCAAACACAGGAATTTATACCACTAATTGGTCTCTGTGTTAGTGCTCCCCCTCCATTGGGTACCACATCTCCTAGCTCCACCCAAAGGCACCAAGCAGTACGCAACTTCAGAACAATATGTGCCCCAGGACAAATGTCTGGGTGCAGGAAGTCTGCATTCCAAGCATTTGTTCCTGGGCACATACAGCCCTAAAATTTCATACTGCTTGGTGCAGGGTCCAGCCACAGCAGCTGTCAGCCTCATATAGACTTTGACAGGCTGCCCCCAGCAGGGCTGTACTGGGCACCTGAGCTCTCCGCCTGCAAATAAACCCTGGAGCCCCATTTACTGGCGCTAAACATCCAGTACATATGGGGCCTAAAGTGTACCTCCACTTCCCCCTTTATCTGTGCCATTATGTGAAGTTACTCTTTAAAGACTTTAATACTTTAATAATTTGCATTTTTCAGGCATTTTATGTCTACCTGTTGTTCAGAAGAGGCTAAAAGGACAAAGGACAGGTTCTCCCTAAGTAGTACAGAGGCTACCAATCCAACCAGCAGCAGCAATTACATCTCAGTCTAGAGGATGTTTTTTAGGATTTAGTGTAGCAGAACTTTAATGGGAGAAGGGGTTTAGCGTCATGGGATTCTCCAAACATCGTCCAGCAACAGCGTTGAAGGACAAAGTTCTCTCTAGTATTTTGATAACCACTTTCTGGGAGTAGCAGGAGATGGTAGGAATGTCTAAGGCCACACAGCTGTGGAGCACAGGGCAATCTTTGGCTCTTCTGACACTTGCACAACTAATAGTCCCTGGCAAGTTCTTTACTCACATTGTCCTTGGATATGTCTGCCACCCAGCCTCTATAGATAGCCCTCTTGTGAGGAAGATAACAAACTCCTTCTCCAAAACATGATCTCTGAAACAGTGTCCTTCAGCAGGTATGCCTCCTCAACAATTCTCCTAAGGTCCTCAGCCCAGCAACAGCTAAGGCCCAAACTGTGGTCTCTTCTCTCAGTGATTCTGCTCCTAGGGGCATTAGCCCCAGGGGTACTGGAACCCTCCCCGATGAGGGAAAAAAAATCTGTTCAGGCTTCCTGTCTATTTATCACCTCCCCAGCCACCTTCTGGATGCCTCCTTCCAGGGATTGGCCAGTGCATGATATATATTCAGCTTATCATTTGAATCTCCCTTCCTATGCTTTGGAAATTTTTCCGAAGGCAGGGGGAAGCAAATGCTCAACAACCACTCCATTTTCTACAGCTGAGCCAAACACTAAATTTCCTAACAGCCTAACAGGGAGGGTGCGCTATATATAGCTGTAGGGACCAGACTTACGGCCTGGAGGGAGCCTGCAGGAGCAGAGGATTAGGTAAACAAAACTGCATTTTGCGCCCCCTCATGGCCTGAACAAGTATTTACCTTTTGCATTGCAGTGGTAGCCCCAGGGCCATCTTTAACATTGATTGGACATACAATAAATAACAGCTAAACTCAAAATCAGTTTACTGCAGCAGATCAGGCAGTGACAGTGAGGTGATTACTAGAGGTGGTTGCTAGAGGTTACAGCACACATTACATTTAGTTGCTAAAGGTTACTGCACATAATTTCTGCTCACTGATTGGTTGCTATTGGTTACTACACATCATTACTGCTCACTGATTGGTTGCTAGAGGTTGTTGTACATCCTTACCACTCAGTGATTGGTTGCTAGAGGTTATTGCACATCCTTGCCACTCAGTGATTGGTTGTTATAGGTTACTGCACATCATTACTGCACATTTATTGGTTGCTGGGGCTTGGGGGGGGAGTGCGATCATCGGGGGGAACGGGATTAGTGGCAGTGCTGGGGTTGAGTGTGATCAGTGGCAGTGCTGGGGGATGGGACCATTCATCAGTGGCACTTACTTGTCGACTCGGTTCTTCCTCTTTGTCTCTCTGGCTTCCTTCAGGTGTCTGCAGTGACACCTATCCCGAGATCCCTATATCCTCACACAGCGGAGACCTCCTCCAGCTCCTACCTCTTCATAGGTCAGCTGACCTCTAGTTACTGACTCCCATTCGCTGACAGCCATGCCAATCTGCCTACAGCTGTGAACTGAAAGGGCGGCTGTAAGGGACCACCCGGCGGTACCACTAGCACTCCACTGAATAGATGCTCCCAGCGCACAGAATCTAAGTCCCAGAGTGCTTGTTCACCAGGGCCCCTGATGGTGGGGATGGACTTGGAGCACCCCGAGACCAGGTCGTGGCTACTGGGTACGTCCGTCAGTGGTAGTGGTATGCGCCGAGGGCTCCCACGGGAAAGAGTCTGATATGAGGAGGTCTAAAGACCCCACTACGAGGGAATGGATGGATGGATGGATGAGCAAGGTCAGACAGGCCAGGTCGGTAACGTAGAGGACGGTAAAGTACAAGGCAGCGGGCAGAGAATGGTCGGGTCACACGCCAGGTCAGCAACAGCAGGTCAAATCCAATAGGGGGCATCCAGGAGAGAGGTCAGGCAAAGCAAGGGTCAGGACAGGAGAATATAGCAAGGTCAGGTACAATCCGGGTCAAAAACTTACAGGGTACAGGTTCACAGGATACAGGATGCAGGTAAGACCAGAAGGCACTGAATGACAGCTCAGGGCCATTTAAATATCCCGCCCTGTGTTGCCATTGGTGCCAAGCGGGCGGCCGCGGCTTCTACTGCACATGCGCGAACTCGAACGCCGCGGCCGGCCCGGACCTAGTGCCCGTGTTTCTGCACAGGGCAGCGCACTGCGCCTGCGCCGGGACCATCGCTGCGGGGATCGTGGAGATCCCTGACATTGCCCCCCCCCACGGGCAACCTCCGGATGCCTACCCGATCTCTCCACCACGGGTGATCGCGAAAAAACCTCCGGACAAGTCTAGGTGCATGGACATTATGGGCTGGTTCCCAAGAATTGTCCTCAGGGCCATAGCCCTTCCATTTGATTAGGAATTGGGTCTGGCCCCCCCTCCTTTGGCACTTCAGGATTGTTTCTACCTCAAACTCTTCTTCTCCCTTCAACCGTTATGGCCTCCGGAGGTCTAGATTCTCGTTCAGGGAAGGCATCTGGGATCACTGGCTTCAGCAGGGACACATGGAAGACTGGGTGGATCTTGAGTGTGTCAGGGAGGACAAGTTCGTAAGCCACCTCGTTGATCATCTGCTTAACTCAAAAGGGGCCTATAAATTTAGGTCCCAATTTCTTTGAAGGGCAAAGCATCTTTAAATTGGATGTAGCTAACCAAACCTTCTCCCCAGGCCGCAACACCAGATCTCCCCTCCGTTTCCTGTTGAATGCCTTCTTGTAGTCTTTTTGGGCCCTACTGATGGCCTCTTGAAGTTTCTTGTTGTTTGCGGAGAAAAACATTACTACATCTTGTGTTGCTGGAACTGGGCATTCCGAGACCAAATCCGGGAGGAAGACGAGGTGAAACCCATAATTGGCAAAGAACGGGGACTGCCCCATTGCCGAATGGCAAGCGTTGTTGTATGCAAATTCCGCCAAGGGCAGAAGTGGCATCCAGTCATCTTGAGTAAACGAAGTGTAGCATCGCAAAAATTGCTCCAGGGTCTGATTGGTCCTTTCGGTCTGTCCGTTAGTCTGAGGGTGAAATGCAGAGGAAAGGGACAATTTGATGTCCAGGGCTTTGCATAGCGCCCTCCAAAATCTTGACGTAAACTGGACCCCTTGGTTCGAGACAATGTCTTCGGGGACCCCATGCAGTCTTACAACCTCACGAATGAATACTCGCGCAGTCTCGGCTGCCGAGGGAGTTTTCTTCAATGGAATGAAGTGGGCCATTTTGGATAAGCGGTCCACGACCACAAGGATTGCCATGTGGTCTAGCAATGGCGGAAGCTCGACTATAAAATCTAGTGAGATTCTTTGCCAAGGTCGTTCAAGAATCGGTAAAGGCCACAGCAGACCCCAAACTTTGTTCCTTGATGGCTTGTTCTTCTGGCAGGTGATACAGGATCTTACATAGCCCTTACAATCTTTAGCCATGTCCGGCCACCAGAAGGAGCGTCGAAGAAGTTCCAGGGTCTTTTCTGGGCCAAAGTGCCCCGCCATCGGGTGGTCATGGCAATGTCCCAAGACCAGGGTTCGGGCTTCCTTCAGCACCAAAATCCAATCTTCCCTCCATAGGAGTCCCCCCTTGTTCTGGAGGGGCCCTCCGACTGGGGTTGATACAGTTGTGGACGCCTCCATTATCTTGGAACGAAGGTCCGACTGAAGTGCCAAGAAGTTACCCGAAGACAGGATAGTGTCGGGCACTGGGATCTCCTTGGCATCCTCGTACATGCGTGATAACGCATCTGGCTTTGTATTCTTTGATCCAGGCCTGTACGTGATGTGGAAATTAAATCTCGAAAAGAATAATGCCCATCTTGCCTGTCGTGGGCGTAAACGCTTGGCGGTCCTCAGGTATTCCAGATTTTTGTGATCTGTGTAAATATCAAGATGGGGTGCATGGCGCCTTCCAGTAGGTACCTCCATTCCTCTAACGCCGTTTTGATCGCCAGTAGTTCTCGATCACCGATATCATAATTCTTCTCCGCTGGGGTAAGCTTCCGTGAGAAAAATGCTACAGGATGGAGCAATTCCTTGGTGCCCTTCCGCTGGGAAAGAATGGAACCTACTGCATTCTCCGATGCATCTACCTCTAAGATGTAGGAGTAGGGCGGCGTCTGGGTGACCCAAAATGGGTGCCGAGGTGAACAGCTTCTTCAAGGCTTCAAAACCTTCCTGAGCCTCTGGTGTCCATCTGAACTGAGTTCCAAGCTTGGTTAGCTGAGTAATGGGGGAGACCAGACCTGAGAAGTTCTTGATGAACTTCTGGTAAAAGTTTGCAAATCCGATAAATCTTTGGACGCCTTTCCTGTCCGTGGGTTCAGGCCAATCCAGAATTGCAGCGACCTTCTGAGGGTCCATCGCGACCCCCGCGGTGGAGATGGAGATAATCAGGCCCAGAAAAGTAATGCTGGATTGTTCGAAGCAAAATTTATCTGCCTTGGCGTACAACCCATGCTGCCGCAATCGCCCCAATACCCTTGCTACATGTATTCTGTGCTCCCCCAAAGAAGGGGAGAAAATCAAAATGTCGTCTAAATAGACGATGACAAAGACATCCAGGAAGTCCCTAAAAATATAATTCACAAAGTGTTGAAAAGTGGCCGGAGCATTGCACAACCCGAAAGGCATGACCAGATATTCAAAGTGGCCAAAGCGAGTGCGGAATGCCGTCCTCCACTCGTCCCCCTCCCTTATGCGAACCAAGTTGTATGCTCCCTCAAATCCAGCTTTGTGAAAACCACTGCCGCTTTTAAACTTTGGAATAACTCCGGTACCAATGGCAGTGGGTAACGGTTCTTTATTGTGACCCTGTTCAACTCCCGGTAATCGATACACGGCCTTAGGGTTTTGTCTTTTTTTTCTACAAAGAAAATTCCCGCCCCTGCCGGAGAAGTGGAGGGGCGGGTGAACCCCTTCTGGAGGCTGTCCTCGATGTATTCCTTCAGGGTCCCCAATTCGAGCTCCGAAAGGGGGAAGATTCGCCCAAAAGGGATCTCTGAGCCGGGTAACAGGTCAACGGGACAGTCATACGGGCGGTGGGGGGGTAGAGTATTGGCTCCCCGTTTACTGAAAACATCCAGAAACTCATGGTAGGCTGCAGGGATTACCTGTTTTTAAATCGGCGTCCCCCTCAGAGCACAGGAGGAACTGGGGGGCCTCCGGGCCCGAAGTGCGGCAGTGTTCCCGACAGTATGGGGAAGGATACGAGATTACTCCGGTCTCCCAGTCAATTTGTGGGTTATGGGCCCGCAACCATGGGAGCCCCAAAATGACTGGGAAAAGGGGCGATGCAATAGCATCCAGGCGGAGGAGTTCCTGGTGCTGGCCGGCAATGGCAGTGGCAATGGAGGGGGTTTCCTGGTTAACTACCCCCGATTTTATCAGGGAACCATCGGCCAAAAATATATTGAACACTTTTTCTTTTAATTGGAGGGGAATACCCTGCTGGTGAGTAAAATTAATGTCCAAGAAGCAGCTGCATGCCCCCGAATCAACTATGGCCGTCACCTCCATGGTCCTTTCTGGAAGCTGAAAGGAAAAGGGCACCACTAAGTATTGGGAAGGACTAACATTGCCAATGGACAAGGAAGAAGAGGTGCACTTACTCAGTTTCTGCGGACAGGATCGTACCATGTGACCAGCTTCACCACAGTAGAGGCACAGGTTCTGGGATCGTCTGCGCTGGTGTTCCTCTGGAGATAATTTAGGCCGTGCCAGGCCAAGCTGCATGGGTTCAGGAATATCTCCAGGTGGCCGGTTCTGGATGTTTGGCCTAGTTGCTTGGCTGGGACCTTGAAATGACCCCCAGGGATTTCCATGACCCTGACCGGACCTCTCAAACCTGCGTTCCCACAGTCTACGGTCAATCTTAATGGTCAGCTCAGTTAGGTCCTCTAATGTCTCAGGCACCTCTACCCGGGCGAGTTCATCTTTCAGGGCTTCTGATAGGCCTATACGGAACTGATGCTAAAGTGCAAACTCGTTCCAGCGTGTGTCCCCCATCCAACGCCTAAACTCAGATGCGTATTCCTCCGGAGCACCCCGAGACCAGGTCGTGGCTACTGGGTACGTCCGTCAGTGGTAGTGGTATGCGCCAAGGGCTCCCACGGGAAAGAGTCTGATATGAGGAGGTCTGAAGACCCCACTGCGAGGAATGGATGGATGGATGAGCAAGGTCAGATAGGCCGGGTCGGTAACAGAGAGGACGGTAAGGTACAAGGCAGCGGGCAGAGAATAGTCGGGTCACACGCCAGGTCAGCAACAGCAGGTCAAATCCAATAGGGGGCATTCAGGAGAGAGGTCAGGCAAAGCAAGGGTCAGGACAGGAGAATATAGCAAGGTCAGGTACAATCCGGGTCAAAAACTTAAGGGCACAGGATACAGGATGCAGGTAAGACCAGAAGGCACTGAATGACAGCTCAGGGCCATTTAAATATCCCGCCCTGCACTGCCATTGGTGCCCAGCGGGCGGCCGCGGCTTCTACTGTGCATGCGTGAACTCGAACGCCGCGGCCGGCCCGGACCTAGTGCCCGTGTCCCTGCACAGGGCAGCGCACTGCGCCTGCGCCGGGACCATCGCTGCGGGATCGTGGAGATCCCTGACAGCGGCCATGGAGAGGCTGTGTGGTAGTGACTTGAGTGTACTATGTTCAGGCTATGGACCCCCCCCCCCTCTCCCCACAGTGGCGGAATACCAGGGCACAGCTTGCGACCCTGGTAGTTCTGCCACTGGTGCAGGCTCAAGGGGCAGCTGCTTCTGGGCCCCACAACAATGACTGGGTCTGGGGCAGCTGCCCCTTTTGCCCCGTGTTAAATACGGCCCTGAGCAACCCAACTGCAAGGGAGAATTTTTTTCCTTTCCCCAGAGCTCAGCTTTACGTTTCTGCAGAACTGAGGGGCTTTTACTCCCACCTGCGGCCTGGCCACCATATTCTTCACATGGAGCTACACAGGAGTTAATGGGAGATTTGTTGGCTGGGACACTCCTATGTTCTAAACAAACATCTGTCTGGCACTTAATCATAGCTAATTCTGCAGAAGAGAGACCATATTTACTTTGTAATGACATCAATTGGCCATAAATATTGCAGCTCTTGTATACTTGCAGTTGAAGAGATGCCTCAGTCTGACATTTAACTGTTTGCTGAGCTCCGTCTTCTGTTTGTTGACGGTTTTTCTCACTTATCAGCTGTCATCGGAGGATTTTTCTTTCTTTGCTGTGAAATGAAGGAAGAAGGTATGCAGACTGTCATGTAAAGACAGATTAGAGCAGCAATAAACTGAGCATAACCTGCCAACCCAGAGAAACGCCTCCTAGTATCAACCAGATAACGAGGAGCAACTAAAAAGATATTTATTTCCTCTCGATAGAAAGAGAACGATCGGAAATGGACATTTGTAAGAATCAGATTTTTTTTTTTTTAATAAATTTGAAGTATAGAGCCCCACAGGGCATGTCTATAGGTTCACGGATGAGAACCATGAAGTAGGCTTGAGCACAGGCAAAGGTAGACTGGAACAGTCTATAGGTTCACGGCTGAGAACCATGAAGTAGGCTTGAGCACAGGCAAAGGTAGACTGGAACAGTCTGTAGGTTCATGGCTGGAACAATGAAGGAGGTTTGAATACAGGCAAAGGTAGACTGGAACAGTCTGTAGGTTCATGGCTGGAACAATGAAGGAGGTTTGAATACAGGCAAAGGTAGACTGGAACAGTCTGTAGGTTCATGGCTGGAACAATGAAGGCGGTTTTGAATACAGGCAATGGTAGACTGGAACAGTCTGTAGGTTCATGGCTGGAACAATGAAGGAGGTTTGAATACAGGCAAAGGTAGACTGGAACAGTCTGTAGGTTCATGGCTGGAACAATGAAGGAGGTTTGAATACAGGCAAAGGTAGACTGGAACAGTCTGTAGGTTCATGGCTGGAACAATGAAGGAGGTTTGAATACAGGCAAAGGTAGACTGGAACAGTCTGCAGGTTCATGGCTGGAACAATGAAGGAGGTTTGAATACAGGCAATGGTAGACTGGAACAGTCTGTAGGTTCATGGCTGGAACAATGAAGGAGGTTTGAATACAGGCAAAGGTAGACTGGAACAGTCTGTAGGTTCATGGCTGGAACAATGAAGGAGGTTTGAATACAGGCAAAGGTAGACTGGAACAGTCTGCAGGTTCATGGCTGGAACAATGAAGGAGGTTTGAATACAGGCAAAGGTAGATTGGAACAGTCTGCAGGTTCATGGCTGGAACAATGAAGGAGGTTTGAATACAGGCAAAGGTAGACTGGAACAGTCTGTAGGTTCATGGCTGGGGACAAAGAAGGTGGTTTGAATACAGGTAAAGGTAGATAGGAGCAGCCTAAACATTCACATCTAGGGACCATGAAGAACGTTGGGAGGGGATTTTGGCGTGCTGTGAGATACTCCAAAAGTGCTTGAACACACTTCTACAGAGGACAATTCTCTCTCCCTCCTATGTTTGTTTTGTTTTGAAATATTTGCAATTTATTAAAAAAAAAAAAAAAAAAAAAAACCCACATGTACATAAGTATTCGCAGCCTTTGCCCTGACACTCAAAATTGAGCTCTGGTGCATCCTGTTCCCACTGATCATCCTTGAGGTGTTTCCACAACTTATTTGGAGTCCACCTGTGGGAATTGGACATGATTAGGAAAGGCATAAACCTGTCTATAGAAGGTCCCACAGGTAACAGTGCATGTCAGAGCATAAACCAAGCCATGAAGTCCAAGGAATTGTCTGTAGACCTCCTAGACAGGATTGTATCAAGGCACAGATCTGGGGAAGGGTACAGAAATATTTCTGCAGCATTAAAGGTCTCAATGAGCACAGTGGCCTCCATCATCCGTAAATGGAAGAAGTTTGGAACCACCAGGAATCTTCCTAGAGTGGCCCGCCTGGTCAAACTGAGAGATCGAGGTAGAAGGGCCTTAGCCAGGGAGGTAACCAAGCACCCGATGGTCACTCTGAAAGAACTCCAGCGTTTCTCTGTGGAGAGAGGAGAACCTTCCAGAAGAACAACCATCTCTGTAGCACTCCACCAATCAGGAATGTATGGTAGAGTGGCAAGACAGAAGCCACTCAGTAAAAGGCAAATGGCAGCCCGCCTGGAGTTTGCCAAAAGGCACCTGAGGGACTCTCAGACCATGAGAAACAAAACTCTCTGGTCTGATGAAACAAAGATTGAACTCTTTGGTCTGAATGCCAAGTGTCATGTCTGGAGGAAACCAGGCATCACTCACCACCTGGCCAATACCATCCCTACAGTGAAGCATGGTGGTGGCAGCATCATGCTGTGAGGATGTTTTTCAGTGGCAGGAACTGGGAGATTAGTCAGGATGGAAGGAAAGAGATGGAATGCAGCAATGTACAGAGACATCCTTGATGAAAACCTGTTCCAGAGTGCTCTGGACCTAAACAACATGAAAGCATGGATCCATCCTGCCTTGTATCAATGGTTCAGGCTGGTGATGGTGGCGTCATGGTGTAGTGGAGTGTATATATATATATACACTCATCAGCCACTTTTTTATTAGATCCACCTTGCTAGGACCGGGTTGGAAACCTTTTCCCTTCAGAACTGCCTTCATTCTTCTTGGCATAGATTCAACAAGGTGTTGGAGACATTCCTCAGAGATATTAGTCCATATTGTCATGAGTTACTGTTGCCTTCCTATCATCTGGAACCAGTCTGCCCATTCTCCTCTGACCTCTGACACCAACAAGGCATTTTCCTCCACACAACTGCCCTCACTGGACATTTTCTCTTTTTCGAACCATTCTCTGTAAACCCTAGAGATGATTGTGTGTGATAATCCCAATAGATCGATCAGCAGATTTTGAAATACTCAGACCAGCCCGTCTGGCACCAACAACCATGCCAAAGTCACTGAAATCCCCTTTCATTCCCATTCTTATGCTCAGTTTGAACCTCAAAAAGTGGTCTTCACCATGTCTAGATGCCTAAATGAATTGAGTTGCTGCCACGTGATTGGCTGATTAGCAATTTGTGTCACCAAGCAATTGAACAGGTGGACTTAAGTGAATGTGTGTATATATATATATATATATATATACTTTACTATCTATTGACTAATACTGGCAGCATAAGGAATAAAAATAGTTCATGCTGATTGAAAGAGTTGAGTCCTGCTTTAAAACACAGAAGTTTTACTATAGAGGTGGTTTTAGCTACACCATACAGAACGTTTCCCAAAGAACAAACATTCAACAACATGCACTTCAAACTCTAAATATACGTCTATGGAGGATGTGAGTCAGGCAATGGAGTGGTAAAGATGAAAGGAAGAAAACCCGATGACCTCATTGAATATTCACAATCCCAATGTCACACACGCCAACAAAATATCACAAGCAGGAGACATGTTCCTGTGCTCGGGCAATACCGAGGTCACTTCAAAGATGTCGGCTAAAGTGGTGATTTTATCTGTATACAAAGAGATGTTGGAGCAATAATTACATATAAGACCTTTTGTTCTCTGTGCTTAATATTATATATCATACTGTAGCAGATATTCTATGACTAATAAACTTTAGGATGGCCTCCTATGGGGGTTGTGCCTCCCAACATTTTAGGATAGGACTCTACCTACCTATGTGGAAGGTTGGAATGGAGAATGAAGCCACAATTGCATAGAGTACTCTGTCCATTCATTGCTCCTATAAGTTCTACAAATATCTGTGCCAGTGGTTGCCATTGAAGTCTTTGATGCTTATGATGGAGAGAAAGGGCTCCCAAACCTGATATTTTGGTTTTGAGGTAATGGATTTGTTACAATCATCCACTGACTTATTCTTCTTTCTCTACAAATATCTGTGCCATTGATGACCACCTGAAGTCTCCAATGCCAATGATGGAGAGAAAGGGCTCCCAAACCTGATATTTTGGTATTGAGGCAATGGACCCGTCACCACCATCCACCGACCTATTCTTCTTTCTCTACAAGTACCTGTGACAATGATGGCCATCTTAAGTCTCCAATGCCTATGATGGAGTTGGTTCCTGTCTAAATTGGCCCTAGTATATGAATGTGAGCTGGGACCTTAGATTGTACACCCCTGGAGGGTTAGGGACTGATGTGAATGTACAATATATATGTAAAGAGCTGCGTAAATTGACGGCGCTATATAAGTACCTAAAATAATAAATGGAGAGAAAGGGCTCCCAAACCTGATATTTCAGTATTGAGGCAATAGACCCATCACAATCATATACCGACCTATTCTTCTTTCTCTACAAGTACCTGTACCG